TTTAGTAACATATTAAATGAAAGTGGTAGGCAACATTATTCTGTTCCAGATCTTTCTAAGAAACATAGAACATTAATTTAAAAATTTCTAAGTCTAGGTACTAGGCAGTGGAACAGGTCACAACAAATACAAGAATCAGCATCACTGTGATCCCAAGAGAATTCAAACCGCATGACAAATACATAAACACAAATTTAAACCTAAAATCATACTTTTAAATAGCTTACATATAATAAATGATGAACATGAGAAATATTTAGAACTGAACTAATAAAATGCTGCACATGACTTGTGAAATAATGTTAATATGAACTTAAAATGAATTTACATGGATATATTTAAAATGAAGAAATACTAAAAACTTGCAACTAGGTGAATTTTTAAAAACCTATCAAGTAAGAGGTAACTCTTCAAAATGAAGATTAATAAAGGGTTAATGAAGAGCAAAGATGTTCTTTGAAAGCACTAAAAAAATGAATAAAACTCTAGCAAAATTGATTATGAAAAATGGTAGACAAGACTATATATTTTTAAATGAGCAAAATGATCAGGAAAGTCACAGAAAAGAAAATTTCAAATCATAAAAGGAAATTCTCAGCCTTATTAGTTATGGAAATTGTAAACTCAAATAACAGCAGTAAACCATTCCTACCTATCAAATGGGGACATGAAATAAAAGAATTCTAAATGCCATATTGGTAAATATGGTACACCCAAAGATCTCATACACCACAAATGTATGTCTAAGTTTGAAAGCAATATCCAGTAGAGATGAGGATATGCTGTAGCTAGTGGGGGAAACTTGTCATTGCAGTCCTGTGGCAGATTCATGCATGCCAGAAATAAGACCCACACAAGGAGGCCATCAACAAGATATAGGATAAAGCATGGCAATTTTAGAACTGGGATATTGGAGACATATGGATATATTTCAAGGAGGTTGAATGTCACAAACATGTGGAGCTTTGCAAGAATAAGTTGCAGAAAAAATATGTACAATCTGTTCATATAAAGCTTTAAAAGATGTGAAAAGCATTTTATGTAACAATTCATCTATATATAATAAAAGTTTTAAAACATTTATAGAAATAATAAATAAAGTCAGTATGATTGTTACTTCTGTGGAAAGAGGGAAGGAAGTATATTTGGGTGGGCACATGTAGGTATCAAATTTTTATGTGTCCTTTTTTAAAAGCGTATCTATAATCTTGAATATGTATATGATGCATATATATGATATATGTATCTTACATGTGTATATGTATCATTCAACAAAACTGGGTGGTGAGTACTATTCTTTGTATTTGAAACACTTCATAATATTTGTAAAGTAATACTCTGTTAAATAGATATGAAAGAATAGTGCGACTCAGGTTTAACTTAGTGTTTTTAAATAAGAGAATGGGCTTCATTTTAGAATCAATAATAGAAGTTTACTACTATTCTTACCTACTTACCACCTTAGAGGTAAGCAGCAGTTGTGTTAGTCAGCTTTTTGTCACTGTGACAAAATACCTGAGAAAAATAACTTGAAAGAAGACAGGATTAATTCTGGCTCATGGTTTCAAAGAATTTAGTCCATGGTCACTTAACTATTGCTTCTGGTCCTCTGATGAAGCAAAATATTATGACGAGGAGCACTTGGTGAACCAGAGCTGCTCACCTCATGACAGCCAGAGAGAGAGAGGAAGGGGCTAGAGTCAAAATACACCCTGAGGTCCCTCCCCCGAGGACCTAGTTCCTCCATGAAGGCCCCATCTCCTAGAGTTCCCACCTCCTCCTAGTAGCGCAGTAGGCCATGAATCCATAAATGGATTGATCTACTGATGAGGTCAGAGCCCTCATGATCCAATCGTCTCCCAAAGGCCCTACCTCTGAACATTGCCGCATTGGGGGCCAAGCCTTCCACACAGGAGCTTTGGGGGCACATTCAGATCTAAACTGCAAAAAGAGTATGTCCATTGACAGTATGTAAGATGAATGAAGAGGAAGAAAAGGAAAACTCAAGTGTAGCAAGAACCACAAGTGCACAGACATTGGCCTCCTTCTTTTCCAATAGAATTTAATGTTGCTTTTATTTGCACAATGGTGGTAACTTTGTTCTATTTTTCACACACACACACATATACACACACACACGCACAAAAGCCATACAAAATTTTTGAAAAAATTTCAAAGAACACTGGGATTTAAAAAAAAAGAATCTAAACATTTTTAAATGGGATTAACAATTTTTTAAAAAATTACACCACCCAATAATAATCGATGTAAATATTTAATATGCATAATTCTGTGTGTATGTTTACCCATAAAAGCACACTCTACATTTTTGTTTTTAACATGATCTTTATGTGTTATAATGTACCTTAGTAATAGTTCTGTTAGGAAACATCTATATCTGTCACATGTTTTATTTATTTATTTATCCATTTATTTATTTATGTATTTGTGGTGCTAGGGATTGAACCCAGATCCTTGTGCATGCAAGGCAAGCACTCTACCAACGGAGCTATACCCACAGCCCTGTCACATGTCTTTTAACAGCTCATTGTATTATACTGTGCAGTCATACCATATTGTATTTTAACCAGGCTTTCTGTTGGTTTTCTGGTTTTTTCCTTACCTGTGACACTGCAGTAAATACACAGCACATATATCTTTTACTACTTTGGATATATTTGTTCATTTGTTTCCTTTAGATACATTCAAAGAAGATTTTCTGAATTACAGGAATGCCTAGTAAGTGTGAGGCTTTGCTTACTGTATCAGAGTTCTCCAGAGAGGGCAGCAGGCTGGAAACTGAGGCAAAAGTTGATGCTGCAGTCTTGAGGCAAAATTTCTGTTTTCAGGAAACCTGTTTTTGTTTTAAGGCTTTTAACTGATTGTGTGAGATTTACCCACATATCAAGAATGTCCTTTATCTAAATCTCCTTTACTTAAAGTCAGCTGTACACAACACTTTCACAGCAGCACTTAGGTTGCTGTTTGATTAAATCCCTGGGTTCTGTCGCCCAGCCACACTCATATATGAAGCATTTCCTATTTCCAGATGTATTTCCTGAAAGTCTACACCAATTTCCATTCCCACAACATTTATGAGAATGTGCATTTCTCTGTGTGGTCATCCAAATGTATTAGCAACCATTTTCATTTTTGGCCAAACCCATCAATATCTCTAATATAGTCAAGTTAACTTAAAGTTTTAAATCCAAATTCTGTTGTGCAGTTTAGCAATCTGTCACATAGAAATTTTCACAAAAATCTACATCTTTTACTTTGTAAAAGAGTAGGGTCAGCTCTTCCCTTCTTGGAACAAGAAATTATATGTCATCCTTTTAAAATTATCACAGTTGCTGTGCACAGTAGCTCATTCCTATAATCCCAACACCCCAGGAGGGTGAGGCAGGAGAATTGAAACTTCC